ATATTTTTCATCTTCATCTTGATGTTTACTAGTGAATCTTTTATTTAAGAATTGTTTGGTATTATTGTCTTTATTTTCTTGCCAAATATATAATTAGGATTATAAATCAGCTCTTCCCCATCTTAATCACATAGTTTGAGTTATCTAATTAAATTATTCCATGTGGATACGATCCTTGCTCACGCTACTACATATTTAGAAGCAAAGTTAATTTGGGTGCCTACGACAGCACGACCAATGGCCTTAGTCACGGTGGATTTTTCTTTGACCCCGCATTCGGCTCGACTACCTAGCTCGGAAGCCTTTATCATAGTGGATTTTTAATATCCCAAAAGGTCGGGAAAGCCCCAATGCAATTTGTCTACTTCAAACCAAAGTGGGGTGACCTGTCAATAAGGTCACACCAAAACATACCAAACTAGATAACTCGATAATTAGAGCGAGAACATAGATCTCTATTAATTACGAGCAAAAAAAGTCAATTACACCATTGTTCACTCAATCCTCGATAAAAGAAAAAAATTCAGATATAACATTTTTTTCAAATTTGCGATGTTTCATGACCTGGCTAATGATCGCCCCTCAGCATCCTTCATTGAATTTGCTCCGCCAGCATGTACTCTTTCAACCAAGTTTGGTCTCTCCCAATTTGGCTATAATTTGCCCACATGCTTCTGCACGTCGACTCTTTTCCACACCAAGTCTCATAATTCGAATCTTCAGACCTTCACCTTTTTGTTATGGGCTTCTCACATCCTTTATTTGTATGCTTCGACCCTGTCGATGCCTGTTCTCTAAGCTCCTCGATTGTGTCCAAGGCCGCTAACATCAACTTCTCGTTCTGGCCACGGTCATATGCATTCGACCTCTGAGATTGCAACTCCACCTCGACTGGTAACAAAGCCTCCATTCCATAGTCCAAAGGGAACGAGGTTTATCCTGCCGTTGATCTCGGGGTGGTCTTGTATGCCCAAAGTACTGATGTGAGCTCATCGACCCATGCCCACTAGGCTCTTTCAAGCCTTGTCTTTCCGTTTAGTATGATATTGTTGGTCACCTCAGCTTGTCCATTGACTTACGGATGAGCTACAGAAGCAAAGTGTTGCTCGATTTTCACGTCCTCGCACCATGCTCGAATACGCTTGTCACTAAATTGCGTTCCATTATCAGACACCAACACCTTTGGGACTCCAAACCTGCAACAAATAGTGTTATATAAAAAGTGTATGACTTTGTCCTTCGTGATTTTGGCCAATGGCTCGGCTTCCACCCACTTCGTAAACTAATTGACCGCCACGATAAAAAATTTCCTTTGGCCTATTCCTTGCGGCATCGTCCGATCCCCCATTGCGCGAATGGAATAGGGGCACTCATCATTATCATCGTCTCCGCCGGCTGATGGATGAGTGGACCATGTTTTTGGCACTACAAACACCTTTTCACCATTGACATCGCGTCCACCTTCATAGTCGGCCAGAAATATCCTGCTCGAAGTATTTTCGCCACCAACGCTCCAGCCTTACTATGATCACTGCAACATCCCTCATGGATCTCCTTCAGAACATATCGACCTTCTTCTTTAGTCACACACCTCAAATGTGGTCCAGCATACGACCTCTTGTATAGGATTCCTCTTTGCTAAAAAAACCTCTTTATTACTTTCACCATTCCTTCCCTCAACTCTTTCAATATCGAGACTCTCCAATCCTCTACCTCATCGATCTCTGCTACCTTTGTCTCCATAGCACTTTTCTCTATGTTTAACAGAGTCACACTCCTGCTCTTACAGTCCATCAAGTTCTGCGCTATTTTCAACAAGAGGTCCACTCGATCATTCTCTTCTCGAGGTATCTGGATCAGCTCGAATGAGTCAAACTCCTCTTGCAACTTCCTCATCTCATCAACATACTTCTGCATCCTTTTCTCTTTCACCTCAAAGCCTTCTTGGAACTGCCCCACAACCAACTCTACACCGGCTGAAAATGGAGTTTCTGAGAAGAATATCAAGAAGTTATTGCACCAAGAATTTAAAAGCAATGCCAAAGCGACCATCGTGAATCATAATATTGTTACAAAATTGTCCTTGAGGTTTGTATAAACACAAAACACCCTAGCTACATTTCAAAATTCCAAATTCTCACTTACAAGTGCCACAAAGTTTTGCATTCAGTACACAAATACTCCTCTCAAAATGTTACAACCAGGAAAAGATGCATCAGTGCGGCTAATTTGCAGGCCAGAAAGATAATTAGGGGTTTTCTAGATTTATTTTCATCACATATAAATAAACGATACAGACGTACGATGCAAATTAGAAAAACCTCTTGATTATATAAAGAATTTATTTTTCAGCAACTGCTAAATTAATTTTATTTATTTATTATGAGAAAATTAAGTTCTAAAAAAAATGTGTGTGTATCTTGTAAACATTTATAGAAAATATTAATTTTAAATATATTTACATAAATTTAAGTTAGTTATATTAATAAGTAATATTTACATAGATTAAATATTTTTCATTTTATAAATTAAGAAGAAGAAGAAGTAGACTACTTCTATAAATTCTATAAATAATAAAAATAATATTATATGACAATAAATTTTAATAAAACAAGAATTGATTATTATATAGTGAACAAAAATAAATAATACTGTTATTTTTTCTTAGATCAATGAATAATATATATTCTAAAACCAAATTTATATTAGTATAGCGTGTTAATGTAATACTATATCGATTAACTTATCAATGTTCTGACTACAATAAAAATCAGTGATTAAAATATATGGAAAATGGATGATTCAACCTTATTATTTTTTGTGCTTAAACATACAAACTCTATGGAAATGACTCATTTAATATATATGTCATATGCATTGCACGAGCTATATACTAGAGTTGTGTTCATTCATAATCCCCCTATATATAATTCCCGAATGCGCTGAGCCTACGTGGCTGCTTCTGGTGCTTCGGAATCCTACTTGACGAATAATCATGCTTCGTAATTAGGTTTGGACAAATAATATTGATACATTAATAATTAACAATCTAGGTTCGGACATTCCATAAATATTATTTAGCTAACTTAGGTACTTTAATATCACTTGTGTTAGTATAACCCTTTAATTCTTTGTAATTTTACATAGTGAGTCACTTAGAGCATGATTGGATACAAAAATTTCTCAAAAAAATCCAAACATTTTTAACTCAACCACTTTTTTAACTCAACTTTAACTTAACCCCACTATCATCAATATTATCAATATAATTAAATAATATCAATCAATCATTCTTACACACAACATCACTTTAATTCACTATTCATCCACTCACATAATTTTAACTAACCATCACTTCAAATCTTCTCTTTCCTACTTTACATCAAATCAACTTTAATTATTTTATTTTAAATATTATTTTAATATATCCACTAACAATTAATCATACTAACTTTTTCAAAACTAACCAAACCAAACAAAAAGATTCAAACAAAACCAAAATTTTTTATATCCAATCATCCTCTAAGTGACTAATATACAGGGGCGGATCCTAATAAGGACCAGTGTGGGCCTAGGCCCACACTGAAAAAAATTGCTACCTTATATATTCTACTCAAAAATAATTTAATTCTCAATTAATAAATTAAATAAATATAAATAAATAAAAACAATAGGAACACAGAGAAGGGGAAAAAAAGAATGGGAAAAAAAACATTGTTCTTGTTTATTTTGGTGAAAGTGAATCTAGTCTTTTTTTTATTAGATTTGATATAAAAATTAAAAATTTAAACTTGTAGTTAATTTAATGTTGTTTCTTAAAAAACAAACATATTTAAATTTGTGTGTGACTGATAAATTGTACGACTCTTAGAAGTTTGATATATTAGATAATACATTTTATTCATTATGATTTATTTTTTCTATTCATTTTTGGAGAAATATTCTTATACATAGTCTTGACAAAAAAGTACATGTGAAAATATTTTAAAATTAGCCACTTTTATTCCAAATATACTTGAGGGGAATCTTAATATTATTAAGCCGAAAAAAAAATGTAAAGACCTTATTGTAGAGTCGTACCAAGCTATGAAAACTCATAAGTCTTTCTATTAATGTCTATTTTGTATTTATATTTTATTATGGGGTATTATATTCTAGAAATAAGTAGGCCCCCACTGATATTATGATCTAGATCCGCCCCTGCTAATATATCCTTGACTTTTGATTTGCTTAATTCAATTAGCTACTGAATTGTAAATGTATTTTGAAAGTTGATAACTTTTGTATTTCTTATCGGTTTTACATATATAATATATCAAATTAATCATTTTTTTATGATCTTCGATTTGACATCCATATTGTATATATGAAATAACTAAATTATATTTATCTTTATAATAATAAAAAATAATAATATTTATTAAAATTCAATAGAAAAATAAAATTATTTCTTAATTGGTATATTTATGTATAATGTAGTCATATGTTGTAAGTTAAAAAAATTATTATAATATAACACATGTAAGTCGCGCAAATAAAAAGTGACATACTAAATATATAATAATATATATATTTTCATAAAATGTATTTAAATTTTCAACTAATTTTATATTTTAAGAAAAAAAAAATTAGAAAGCACTCAAATAATACACAGGCGTTGTACTAGTAATGTAGTATTAATATTTGATTATTTTAGAGATTTTTAGGACATTAAATATTTACTTGATTATATAACTTGTATTTTATTTCATTCTCGCTTCTTTTTAATTAAACAACACACTATCTTCATCTTGCCGTACGGCACGCATTATTGTGTGTGCATCAACATTACTAACCCACTGGTGCTTTTCTTCACTTCTGTGTGGAGTGGAGGTGGTAATAAGGTTGAAGAAAATCAGTTCTATTTTAAACCCTAAAAACCCTAGCACTCACAAATCAATTCCTCCGTCTAATGCCAAGCTCGAAGCTTTAATTAATCGAAAAGTAAAACGTAAAAACGTATGATGGAAATCGATGAATCCGAGGACGAAATTGAAAGAAGATCCGATGTGCTGCGAAATCTATCGAGAAAGGGTCCGCTACCCACTTCAATGGCAAAGCTATCTGGCTCGTCGCGCGTCATACCCTCTCGAAAGGACTTCCATTTCTACAACAATTTTCAAGAATTCACGCGCCCAGTTCAGGAATTCGACAGGAAGTCGAAAAATTTGCTGGAAAAAATTGGGGCGTCGGAGGATTTGTTCGGGAAGCAAATACCGCTTCCGGTCGACAAGGACGTCGAGTTGGACGACGACGTTGCGCTTGATTGGCTGGTGAATGTGAATGACGAGATTTTCGAGAGGTTTGACGTGACCTTGGATGATTTCAGGAGGGTGCTTAATGAGGAAGAGAAGAGTGGCGTGAAGACGGTGAGAGTCGGTGGGACTGAAGAAAACGGGTTTCAGATGGTTTATGGGAAGAAGAACAAGAAACCTCTGGGAAGTGTAGGGGGGAATGTAGATGGGGAAGTGAAAGGGGCTCAGGCAGTGAAGGTGGCTACCAAGTTGAAGCTGAAAGTCCCGTTTCACGTGCCGTCTATACCAAAGCCGCAGGACGTGTATAAGATCATTGTGAAAAATACAAACCAGCCATTTGAGCATGTCTGGTTGCAGAGGAGTGAGGATGGTTCTAGGTTCTTACATCCTTTGGTCAGTTTTTGAAATTTTGTGTTTTTGACTTAGATGAGTTCATTGGAAAACTAAGAGATCACTCTGATCAAATATCCAAAGAAAATATAATCTAAATTTCTTTTAGTTTTGTTTTATTTTTGTTCTGGTTTTTTAAAATGAATGAGCCCACCGTTGCATGCTAGCCTGTTGATAAGACTCACCCTATAGTTAAACTGTGTGGTCAAGGTTGTTTTTTGAATTAAACGTGTACATACTGCCAATTTGTGTTACCAATCTCTCTTGTAGTGGTGTAGTAAAGAAATTAATCATTTTTGTCCCAGAAAACGTTTGCCTTACCTCAAAACATTCAATAGACAACTTATTGAATTGGTTGACTAGAAGTCTAGAACGATCAAAGATAGAGGCTTATACATACCTAGTGTTTCTCATGGGGCACTCTGCATTATTTTCAAGTCTCTGGAAAACAAATGTAATTCTTTTTGTTTTCTTGTGTTCTACAGGAGGAGCTCTCTGTTCTTGACTTTGTTGATATGAGTGAAAGTATAGCTGAGCCTGATAAACCTCTTCCGATCGCTGTTACCCCACTCAAATTTGTGGAGGATGTGAAAGATTTGAAGCAGTTAGCTATCACGCTGCGTAATGTGAATGAGTTTGCGGTAAAGTTTACTGCTTTTATTATTTGGTGATACACATTGATGGAACTTATTGGTTATTGCCTGTCTGTGTGCCACAGTATCTGCATTTTTATGTTTGAGCACTCGCTGTAGGTAATGCTGATCCCTGAGCCCTTTGTTGAAGGGCTTGACTGATGCTCTATCTTAATACCTCATCGATTAAATGGACTTGGTCCTTGCAGTGTTATTAAATTTCTGCCATTGCGGCATGGCTCGGCAGATGTCTGCCTAACCACCTTTAGATATTGTGAAGGATGCCAGTTATGGTGGCGCCACAGGCCATCATGGCGGGACTTTAGTCTACCACCATTTTCCGCCATCTGCCATTGATAACATTGGATCCTTGAGCTTTCATTAGTGTTCTACCTTAACTTTCTTTTTGTACATAGTAATGAGAAACAAAATAAATAGATTATTACATTTCTAACAAGATAGTGATTGGTACAGTGCAAGCATTTACATGGAAGCAAATGTTTAATCCATAAAATTAATGATCTCGGCTGTTCTCTTTCTCTCTCTCTCTCTCTCTCTCTCTCTTCTATATATATATATATATATATATATTTATAGATGAAACTAAGAATTGGGAGAAGGGGCGTCAATGTTTGAGTCAAATTTTCATTTGTTTGTAATCATTTTTTTTTGAGGGGTTTGTGATACTATTTTCAGGTTGATTTAGAACATAACCAATATAGGTCTTTTCAAGGGCTGACATGTTTGATGCAAATATCGACAAGAACTGAAGATTTTATCATTGACACCCTGAAACTTCGCATTCACATTGGTCCATATCTGAGAGAAGTATTCAAAGATCCGTCTAAGAGAAAGGTAATCTTCAGAATCCGTATTTTTTTATTGTTGTTGTCATTGTTGTTATTATTGTTACCATTTCCTTCTGTTCTGATTGCAGCTGTTTCTTTTACATTGTGATATTGTTTGGATTTAGGTAATGCATGGAGCTGACCGTGATATTGCGTGGCTTCAACGAGACTTTGGGATTTATGTTTGTAATATGTTTGACACTGGACAGGTAGTTAGAGTTTGATATGTTTAAAATCAGTGGTTTCTGTTTATTTTATTAAATTTCGAAATATCTATGATGCATTTTTGTTGTTTCCTCCTTGAAAGACGGACTAATTTGTTTCTGGATGTTACCATATATTTATGAGTTAAGAGCACAACAGATTATCCCGCGCTCAATTATCAGTTACCTTTGGCTTTTAGTTTAGACTGCAATATTTCATCTCATCAGCCTTGCATGATAAATTATATGAGAAGCGTAGCTCTGAGGATGATCGAAGCATTAGTGTTGGAGATACTGTGCTGCAGTTTCTTTTCTAGCCTATTTATGTTTGATGTCTTTGCCTTTTTTTTTTTTTTGTTTAAGGTTTAAGCATACCGTTTCCGCTTCATGTCTGTGCATAGGAACACGTGCTTGAACTACTATGATGCTTCTTTGGTTGAGTACATTTCTTCCTCTTTTTTATTAGGCCTCAAGGGTATTGAAAATGGAAAGGTACAGCCTGGAACATCTGTTGAGTCATTTCTGCGGAGTTACAGCAAATAAAGAGTATGATCTCTTGCTTTCTACTATGGTTGTTGATATATCCTCCTTGAGTAAATGAAGGAACAAATGTACACTATGTAATATAGAGGTGAATTAGTAGAAAAAATTGTGAGGGAGAAGAAGTTTTTAAGACTAAGCAGTCTATTTTCTACAGGTACCAGAATGCAGATTGGAGAATGAGACCACTTCCACGCGAGATGGTCAAGTATGTAATCTACAGGAAATTCTGTTTGTTTTATTGATTTCCTTACATTTTTTACTTGAAAATGTAGGTATTGGTATGTTAAGATGCACATCTTTCTCATCTGTGGTTCTATATATGCTCATATACTGCTAAATTCATCTGTATGGTATTTTTGCATGCCTATTTTAAAGTTTATATCCCTGCTTTGGTGTACTTTAAAAACTTAAATGAATATGTGTATCTACTTGAGTTCAAAATAGAATATGATTTGTTAGGTCGAAAGATTGACATAACTTTGTTACCCTCTGTTCTTGATGCTTAAAGCCTCTGTTTTTTAAAGTTGCTATTGTTCTTTAAATTTTTAATCACTATGCATCTTTGCTTTCAGTCTGACATCCATTGCATGACTTCTCCAACTCTCTGTTATTATTCATTTTTCTTTTCTGTTCAATCTCATGGGGATTATTTGCGTTCTTGAATGTTGATTAATCTTTTCCTTTTCTCACTTTAGGTTCTCTTGTAAGTCTTCTGGAACCTACATATCCAACCCCTCATCCATGATAATGAACTTAAATGCATTTTGACAAGTCTTAAGATATCTCTTCATAGTGTTCAACTATTCTAATCTGGAAGCCAGCATCTGTTAGACAATTTAAGTGAAGGTTCTGCTAGGAATCTGTTATAATCCTTGTTAAATATAGTGTCATGGGCGATGCTTCTAAAATTTATACCTTCTATAACTGCGTTAATGTTATTCAATGTAATTTTGTTCCCCAGATATGCCAGAGAAGATACACATTATTTGTTGTATATATATGATCTTATGAGGATAAGGTTGCTCAAGTTATCTCCTGAATCTGAAAGTTCTGATCCTCCTCTTGTTGAGGCAAGCACTTTCATTATTAGTTTTATGCCCTTAAAAGAGAAAAATAATGTATTATTATTCGAGTGTTTTGGTCCAATATTACACCATCAAACTTGTACGTGGGAGAGACATCAGCAAGGGTGACCAAATTAATGCACAGATAACTTCTAATCAATAAAGGTTTATATTGTTAATATGTTGAAACCTTGAGATCTGTGAGGATTGTTACTTGTGTAGTTGTGTTCCAAAAATTGTTATTTTAGGAGGTTCTGATTGTCATTTACTATGGTCGTTTGATTTCTCCAAATTCTGGGACTTGTGAAGATTTTATATTCTAACTAATGATTTCAACTTCGCCGTACTATTTCCCAAATCTGTTGACGTTCGTTAATCTTTTGATAGACTGGAGTGCTGTGTGGTTATGGGCTTCTAATGACCACATGTGAATGTATTGCACACTTTTCTTTTGTCCTACTCTTTAACATGGCTGCTATCTGACTAACTATTATGTTTTATCTTTTGAAGGTCTACAAACGCAGTTACGATATATGCACTCAACTCTACGAAAAAGAGCTTTTGACTGAATCGTCATATCTTCACATTTACGGGTATCGTTTTTACTTTTCAGCCTGTGAAGATGCGATCAATTCCTTTTCCATTTTTGACACATGGTATTATGTTTAGTTGTTTATCTGAGCTGATTTTATTTAGTTTTTTGATATGTTAATGCAGGGTGCAGAGTGCTGGGTTGAATGCTCAGCAGCTAGCAGTTGTTTCTGTATGTTCCTTGTTTCTATTATTTTGCTGCTTTTTTGTTATATGAACCCGTTTTTATTTTTCCTACGTGTGCTAGGACCTTATTGGAGGTTAAATAACCACAGTTCTTAGCCTTGAACTTACAGTTTTCTTAGATCTTTCTGCCATTTCTCATTTCCATCAGTTACATGTTTTTACTGAACTCTTGAATGGCCTGAAGGGACTTTGTGAGTGGAGGGACGTTGTTGCTCGTGCAGAAGATGAGAGTACTGGTTATGTGTTGCCCAATAGGAGTCTTATCGAAATTGGTGAAGACCTACTATTTCATATTTCAACTATTAGTATATTTTGACTCAAGATTTCTGAATCTGTTGGCAATGAGCACTACTTGTTGAGTGTTAAGATTTCTGTTATCTAATCCCTTCCATCTCTTTTGCCTTTATCTCTCTCTCTCTCTTTTTTTTTTTTTTTTTT